GTTATTTTGGGGGCAACATTGTTCTTAATAGATTACTTCATATTTTGTACAGGGATTTTCTCGAGCTTGCTGGTCATGTGAGATTTCTTTTCTTTTCTGGTTAACTGGAAAAATGCATTTTACAAAATGTAAAATTTGTCATTAACAAGGCCAAATTCAACAGAAGTCTTGTGGCATTTTAAAGACTTATTATGGAATGGACTTTTGGAAGCCAGACTCTACTTTGTCAAGTGTATGCAATGTTATCCTTCCGGATTCTTTGCCAATTTTTATTTTCCCATCAGGTTTCTCTCTCCCCTCATATGGCAGCGCTTAAATATACAACGGAAGTGAATGCTCTGGGAGCTTCTTTTTCTATCTCTATGGCTAGGAACGGGGGGGGGGGGGAAGAGAACCGCCCCAAGGCCCTTCTCATTCTCGTGCCCCCTTTTTAATATTGTCTTAGTTTCTTTCTCTTTGCTGCTGTTCCCCCTCCCTCCCGTCCATAGATTAAAAAACAAAAAGCTATCATTACGATTCGGAGAAGAAAAGCGGGATGTTTCCATGGCAACCCCAGAAGCCGGCAAAGGAAGCCGGAACTGAACCCATAGCGGGAAGTCAAAGCGATACGCTAAAGAGGGCAGAGCAGGAAATGACGAAGCATGCTGGTGGGAGGAGGAGCGCGCCCTGTGTTTGCGCGCGAAATTGGGTTCGGCGCCGTGAGAGCTGTGTGGGGCGTGAGTTGAAGGAGCTGGAATCCCCAGGTAGGAGAGCACTTTTCACCCTTGGCAGAGGAGCTCTCTTAATTGGGGAGAGGGTGGCGGTTCCTCCTCCCTGGTGACCTTGGTCTAGGCTGTACACGCAGCAGGAGGAAGGGGGGCGGGGAGGGTAGAGTCCTGAGGGAGAGGAGCAGGCTGTGCCGGTTACGTTACAAATGAGGCGCAGCATATGTATCTGCTCACCTTATGTTAACACATTCATAAAACTTGCAAGTAATAATCTCCCTCGCGACAAAACAGGGGTTGGTCTGTGAGGTGCTAATTTTCTCTTTACAGTTTTTTTTAAAAGTATGTAAGAGAGCACTGAAAACGACCATAACTTGAAGCTACCATATAGGAGTCCTGTTTATATGTTACAGTGAGTGCACGTATGTCCTGCATGTACATGCATGCAATTCATTTGTTACTTAGAGTCTATATTTTTCACTTCTGCACAAGGTGGAATACACAGAGAAGTTGATACAGTCAGGATGAGATATTCTGTAAACAATGGAATAGGATTAGGGTTGTAGGACCAACCTGATAACAAAACTGAAACAAATACCAAGTATTAACATTGCACATTAAGTAATGAAAAAATTACATAGTAGCAGGGCTCTAGTCGGGGGGGAGCTCTCAGGTACGGAGCTCCGGAAGAGAACCTCTAGGGGGCGGGGCGGTCACGTGGTGAAGCCCCGCCCCCTTCTTTACCCCGCCCTCTGCTTCGATCCTCATTCCGTTTGGGAATGAGGATGAAGCAGGAGGGTAAGTAGCCGGGCCTTCTGACACACTTCCGGTGATGTCAGGGGGTGTGGCCTTCTGTCACTTCCGGTGATGTCAGGGGGCGTGGCATATGCAAATAAGTTATGCTAATGAGTTATGCTAATGAGCTCCGGCAGCTCTTTTTCTACAACAAGACCCCTGCATAGTAGGATCCCACTTACAGCAACCTGCACATAGTACTATGGACCACAGTCCTTAATAATTCATATAAGTGATTTTGTGGATCGTTTTGTAGAATGCAATCCAATGGCTTGCATAGAAAAGCCCTCTTGAATTATTCAGTTTTACATAGTTTGTGGAAAGCCAGGAGTGGTAGCCTTCCTAATTTCTTCAGACAGGCCATTCCATAGGTGGGGACCACAGTGGAGAAGGCGTGTGTATGGACAGTTGTTGATCTTGCCCATTTGCTGGTTGGCACCTGCAGAAGACTCTGCTTAGATGAGCAAAGCCGTTGTGGCAGTGCATGGGGGAGAAGCCATCTCACAGATATGAGGGTCCAAGGCCATGAAGGGCTTTCTACCTGATAGCCAATACCTTAAACTGAGCTGGGTAACTGATAGGCAGCTAGTGATTGCAGAATAGAATTAATATGCATGGTCCATCTAGCTCCTCAAAATAGCTGAGCTATGGCATTTTGCATCAGCTGAAGTTTCTGTGTTAATTTTGAGGGGAGACCAGTGCACAGTGCATTACAGTAGTCTAGTCTTGATGTAGTGTGGATCCAGGTGGCAAGGTAAGCCGTATCAAGATAAGGGGCAGTCTTACAGGCTAGGCTGAGTTGGAATAAAGCCTTTTTTGCAACTCTGTTACTTGCTTCTCCAGCAATAATGTTGGGTCTAGTATAACCCTGATGCTCTTAACTGAATCAGCAAGGGTCAGCTGAACTCCGTCAAAAGTAGGAAGCACAGTGTCCTTCAAGATTTATGCCTCCCCAGCCAGCATTACCTCTGTCTTTTCATGGTTTAGTTTCAGTTTGTTCACTCTTGGCCAGTTTACTACAGTAGCCAGGCAGTTATTTAGGACCTCTGTACTGCATTACCAGGTGATTTGGATAAAGATATGTAGAGCTGGGTGTCATCTGCATATTAATGACTTCTGGCCCCACAGCTAGGAATGGTTTGTCCTAAGGGCTTTGCATAGAGATTGAAAAGCACGGGGAATAGAATTGCACCCTGTGGATCTCCACAGTATAGGTCCCACACTGATAACTGGTTTGTAATAGCAACACTTTGCATCCAATCTAGCTTAGCACACATCCCCTGATACCACTTCTGCCTCCAAGCACCGCAGCAAGATTGTATTGAAGGCTGCAGATAGATCTCTCCTTATATATAATTCCATTTTGGTGATGGACTCTTCCACATGCTCCCAAATCAGTTGGATCGCTGGTGTGTCACTCAGATGGCATCTCTATCCACTGGCTGTGTTGCTGGCTGCGTTGCTGTCGTCCTGCCCAGCGTCTCGGCCTCAGTGTGCTCAAGAGCCGGCGGCCGGGCCAGACGCTCCAGCGGGGGGGTCATCAGGCCGAGCCCAATCCTGCCGGCGCTGCAGCGTATGTCGTTGGCTGAGCTTGACTGCAAGTACCTGCCCGGGCTGTGACCAGACAGGGGCCGCCGCGCCACTAGGGGGGAGGGCGGTGGAGGCAGCCCAGAGGCCACCAGGCGCGAAGCCAGTGGCGAGGCCTTCCGTTGCCCTGGCCATCACCTGTTATTTTGCAGCCTCCTGCCGTGCGCAGAACTCTCTGTGGGTCACTTGGGCGCTTTCCGATGTGTGCTGGCCTCTTTCAGGAGGGAGGACGCGCTTTAAGCCCTCCCCCCTTGCCCTCCCTCCTTCAGCTCTGCTGTTTGCTTTGCAGACGCTGGGGACAAGCCAGTGCTGCCCCCCACAGGAGAAGGAGAAGAAGGCGGGGCGGCTGCAAAGGAAAGCGCTGCCCTGGCTCGGGCTGACTCAGTACTGCTGCAGCCGAAGGAGGAGAAGGCAAGGGAAGATGGCAGCGCCAGCAGCGGTGGTGCCTCCGGCCGCAGCTTGGAGATGTGTTGGCCCCGGGTGGCATGGAGGAAGTTGAGCCAGTGGCGGGAGGCGGCGGCGGCCCTGTGGAGATCCAAGTGGCGGCGGCCGAGGAGGCCCCATCACCCCTTGACTCCAGAGTCTGGGGAGGGGGAGACAAAGTGGGGGACCGAGGGGCCCCTGTGTCAGGTCTTTCTAGGGCTCGTTGTATTCCTTCTACAACGGACTTTGCTCCTAGTCCAATATACAACAAAGAAACATGGCCTTTGTCTACACTCAGACAGAAGTTATCAACTAAAGCTAGCAGAGCTGTCTTTGTCCCATAGCCTGGCCTGAAGCCAAACTGAAAAGGATCTAGAGCAGATGAGTTATCTTTTTTTTTTAAGTACCCATAGGTACACTTTTATTAATTTTTCTTTTATAATCTACAACAAACAAATCTACACACTACAAGCAAACACTCTACTACACATAACATATATACCAAGAGTTGAGTTTCATTATATGCTTATATCCAATTACTTAATTAATAGAAACGCTCTATTACTTTCCATTCTTCTGTCTTCTGTGTTCTCAAGTCCATTGTGCTATAATTGCCTAATCTTCTATTATATTTACATTATACCAATCATAAAACTTTTTCCATGTTTTTTGAAATGTCCACTCTTTGCTTAATCTCATTTCTAAAGTCAGTTTATCATTTTCTGCTGTTTCAAAAAGTTTATTCACAAACTCCTGTTTTGTTGGTATCACCATAGTTTTCCAATATTTGGCATATAAGATTCTTGCAGCTGTCGAGCAGATGAGTTATCCTTGGAGCTGGTCCACTACTGCTCTTTCAGTCACTTTGCCCAGAAAGGGCAGATTAGAGACCGGGTGATAACTAGCCATAACATTTTTTCTGGAGGGATGGTTTTTTAATGTAGTGGACAGAGAACCAGCTCTTTGACCGAGGGAAGGTGCTTCGAGCTAGTGACTGATTTATAATAGATGCTAAGGGTTTGTTGAAGTGGTCCTTACATTATTTTAGCAGCCAGAGTGGGCCAGGATCCAGGGTACAATAGTGGCCTTCACTGATCCCAGAATCTTGTCAACATCCATCATGGAAACTGGGTCAAAATGTTCCATAAATAGACTAGGAAGTGTATGTTTTCTGTTGTGCCTATATTATAACAAACGTCCAGGTCAAGGTACATTCTTGATATTTTATCAGCAAAAAACTGGGCACAAGTATTGCAGCTAACTGCATGCATGCATTTGTTTGTAAAAAAAGTTAATGGTTATTTTCTTTGAAAGTAAAACATTATTAGGAGATCGTAGCACTTGGAAAGAGACCTGCGATTTGTTTTGTATGTACCAGTGGATTTGAATGTAGAATCTGATTCATAAATATTAATTTGACTAATGGTTGACTATGTGCGAATCTTGTGCTGTGACCCTCTAATGTATCTCTTATAGGCTTACTTGGAGAAAATGCAGTTTACTGGAAGAGGGAGACGGAAGTTGTCAAGGCTGGCGGGCGATGTACGAGGAGATCTGTATCCTCATAGCCTTCAATTCTACCTTCAACCTCCTACTGAAAATATCTCTCTCGTGGAATTTGAAAATTTTGCTGTTGATAGACTTAAATGTGAGTAACATGGTAGAGTAGGAATGAACACAACTTTGTGCTCTGACACTGAATAGTCTATATTTTGGTGTAACCCTGTTTTATGAAATTTTATTGATCTTCAGTTGTTTTCACTGCAGTAGCCATACTGAAGAGAATTTTCAATATATTGACTCTTGTTTTTCCATAAAATGATCATTGTAGCATGCTTTCTAGAGACTAGCTTCCATTCACTCAGCATAATTTCATATACATGTTTGATAATCCACTAACCCACTTCAGCACCAATGCTGATTTGTTGTTCTTGTTGTTTTGCAGTGCTCAAATCAGTTGAAAATCTGGGTGTGAGTTATGTGAAAAATTCATCAGAGTACAAGCAAAAACTGGAAGCAGAACTTCGAAGACTTAAATTTCCATACAGGGTAAGGTCAACTGAAATATTTTAAGGCTCTGAATACAGATTTTGTGTTTCACATGTAGCTGAAATATCAGCTGGGTGAGAATGTTCTGTTGAAGCCTGTGACACTTACAGAATCTTGTAGATAGAAAGCTGAGTTTTTGAGGATGAGTAACCCTCACACAAAATTACCTGAAATTTAGGGTGGCTTGTAGATCAAGAAAGGGGTCCTTGTTGATAGCTGTTGGGTGCTTCTGATGTTAGGCTGTAACAGATGTGCTCAGAGGCCTTGGCATATATTTTTGATGATGCTGTTAGACCGTGCTGTGGCACAGTGGCTTCCAAAACTTCTATGGCCCCTCCCCCTTCTCTCCCCCATGTATTGGTACATCAGTAAATGCATGTATTTTTGTAATTAGGCATTGGTTGAAGATGATTATGAAGCCAGAAGAAAAGATCATATTTCTCATTTCATACTGCGTCTTGCCTACTGCCAATCGTATGTATCCTTCTTATTTACCATGTAATGTCGTGTACATACGCAACAGTGATATATGGGTTTTAATATTTGGAACCATTTATTGGGCAACATGCTGCAGCCTTTTAAGACAATCTTGCATGCCATTAATTCTGGAGTAAAACGTTCAGTGGTTCACTTCAGACATCCTGTCAAACCATGGTTAAGGAAGCTTGAATTATAGCAAGCCAAAGTTATTGCAGACACTCATGAACCTGAGGGCTGTGAGAACAGAAGATAAAAGCTGACAAATAGCTCTAAACCATGGTTTTGCTTATTGTATGTTAGGAAGCTCAAATCACAATTTGGATTCTAAATGCTTTTTTTTTTTTGGTGAACTGTTTAAACTGTGTTTTCATTTCTGGAGATACGAATCCAAGCTGTAAAATGTTATTTATTTATTTATTAAAACATTTATATCCCACCTTTCCTCTTGGTTCAAGGCTGCTTACAATAGTAATTAAAACATCCCCAGCTAAAACCAAAGATAAAACAAAGGTAAAGGTTCCCTTGCTCGAAAGCCAGTCGAATCCGACTCTAGGGTTGCGGTACTCATCTCTGTTTCAAAGCCGAAGAGCCAGCGCTGTCCGAAGACGTTTCCGTGGTCATGTGGCCGGCATGACTAAACACAAAGGCGCATGGAACGCTGTTACCTTCCCACCGAAGTGGTACCTATTTATCTACTTGCAATTTCTTGCTTTCGAACTGCTAGGTTGGCAGGAGCTGGAACTAGAGATGGGAGCTCACTCCATCATGCGGCACCCGGGTCTCGAACTGCTGAACTACTGACCTTCCACAGCCTGCAGTTCAGCGTCTTAACCACTTGAGCCACCGCAGCTCCTAAAGATAAAATAATAAGCCCCAAATCCCTCCCTCCTCTCATTCTGAAAAGAAACCTGCTATTCAAACTCCTTCAAAAGCCCTGGCAAGCAGACAGGCCTTATAGCACCTCCTGGATATCTTCAGGGAGCCCATTCCACAGAGTGGGAGCCACGACTGAAAAGGCCCAGGCCCTGATCAATGCCAGGTGGGTCACCCTAAGTGGTGGGAGAGCTAACATTATTGCTGCAGTTGGCACACAGAGACATATGGATGGAGATAATCCTTCAAATATGTCGGTCTTAGGGCAGGAGGGGCTTTTAAGGTCATAATGAGAAGCCTGCATTAAACTCAGGAACAGCTAAAGAAGCTGTTTCAAAATAGGCAACATATTTTCCCAGTGGCTAGCCCTGACAGTGGTCTGGTTGCCACATTCTGGATCAGTCCCTCTGGAATATCAGCCATCCCAAGCAGTATTACCTTATATGGATTCAGTTCGTTCTGTCTTAGCCACCTGACCACACCTCAAAGCACCACTATATATACACACACACACACACACGCGCACCTCTGGGAGTGACTCTTTGTGTCCAGCAAGACAGAAAAGAGTGAAACCACCAAAGGGCTACGCCCTTACTACCAACTCCCTATTCAAGCTGATGGATAAAAATGGAGTGGTCATTTGTATCAAAGGCCACTGAGAGGTCCAGCAGGTCTGACTTCAAATGACGATAATCCACCAGTGCAACTAAAGCTGTCTCAGTACCAAACCCAGGCCTAAAACCAGATTGAAATGGGTGAAAGGCAGACATAAGAACATAAGAGAAGCCAATGTTGGATCAGGCCAATGGCCCATCTAGTCCAACACTCTGTCACACAGTGGCCAAAAATACCAGGTGCCACCAGGAGATCCATCAGTGGGGCCAGGACACTAGAAGCCCTCCCACTGTTGCCCCCCCCCCCAAACACCAAGAATACAGTGCATCACCTGCCCCAGACATGTCATTCAGGAAACCCTGGAGCTGCTATGCCACCACACAGTCCTAAAAAAGGTAATTTGGAGACTGGCCTGTAACTAGCCACGTCGTCCCTAGCCAGTGAAGGTGTTTTGAGCTAAGGTCTAATAACTGCCTCCTTCAAAGGCCTAGAGAGAGCCCCCTCAGTCAGGAGGAGTTGATGATTTTCACTTTGTTGTTATTTTCACCATCAAGTCATAGCTGACTTACGGCGACCCATAGGGTTTTCGAGGCAAGAGACAGTCAGAGGTGGTTTGTCATTGCTCGCCATTGTCACGACCCTGGACTTCCTTGGTGGTCTTCCATACAAATACTAGCCAGGGGTGACTCTGCTTCTGAGATCTGATGAGATCAGGCTGGCCTTGGCTATGCAGGTAGTAATTTTCACTAACATTCCTAATACCTTTTACTGGCAAGATTTTAAAAGCCACGATAAGCATGGGTCCAGAGCACAAGTAGTGGCCCTCGTATTCCCAAGGGCCCTGTCTGCATCCATAGGCAGGTTCAATTTGAAACTATCCATACCAAAAGGGCAAGTAGGTGCTTCTGACACCTCATGTTGGCCTCCACGTTGGAACAGATAAGACATTTTTGTCAGCAGACAACGTTGCAAAAACATCACAGCCCACTTCGAACAGTTGAGCTGGATGAGAGTCTGCTGACACAATGGTGGCAGAGAAGAAAGTCTTCTTTGCTGCCATTACTGCCACCTCAGAGGCAGGCCCTGTCTGATTCACACTGAGTCTTCTGCCAGTGTCACTCTAGTTGTTTTCCAGTCCACTTCATGTTGCCTGGCTCCCTGGTAAACTAAGGTGCTGGAGGCCTCATGGAATGTGGAAGAGGTCGCCAAGGAAGTACTCTGTTTATGGCCCTAGTTAGACCATCATTCCATTCAGTTACAAGGGTCTCCACAGAGGTACCCAGAGCCTTCTGGAAACCAGCAGGATCCATTGATGTTAGAGGGCAGACCATATGAATTGCCTCTTTCCACTCACACAGAGGGTCTACCACCCTCAGCCCCCTTCTCTCAGGCCCAGGGTTATCACTGTGTCAGGATGTCACAAGCTACCCTTGTTGTCTTTAAAAATATACAGAGATCCATGACCATTTCACACCTCAGGTCCTCTCTCTCACTCCTGGAGACATCCAAAGCCCAGCCCCCTTTAATAATAAGCCCTCACTCACACAGAGCTATTAGGGGCTCAAACACTGTTCGAATTGCTCGCTGCCACCATTTATTCATTTATCCTGTGTTATATGTATTGTTGAGTGAGTCATCGAGACCATCTCACTCCAGTCTTGTTCTACCTACACTGGCTCCCAATTTGCTTCCAGGCTCAATCCAAGTTGGTAATATTGGCTTGGGGCCACCATATCTCCAGCACCACCTACTCCCATATGAACCAACCTGTTCATTCCAGTCATTTTTCAAGGTCCTGCTTCAGGTGCCCCCACCATTTGAGGCTAGATGAGTAGCAACCTGAGAAAGGGCCTTCTTGGTTGTGGTACCCAAACTCTGGAACTTCTTTCTTAGGGAGATTTATCTGTCTCCCTTTATCTTTTGTCTTCTGTCATCAAGTGAAGATTTTTTGTTTGTATGTTTGGCATTCCTTCGCTAATGCTAATTGCATGCTTAGTTGGAAGAAAGAGACTGACACAAGTATATGGTATAAACTAAGGGCAGCTTTATTAAACTGTTAATTAACCGGATAACTATAACTGGCAAGGGCTGCAACACCATCTGGCCAAGGATCTCCTGATCCTATCCAGACCTTAAAAGAGGGTTTGAACCACCATAGCCCCTGGCGCAAGCCAACCACAACACAGCCTTTGCCAGGCAGCAGACCTGCTACCACCCTGTCATGAGCCTACCACTTTAAGCTGCAGAGCATGAAGGGAAACTTAGCCCGGGGTGCATAACAGGCCACCCGCAGTCCCCACCCGAGGTCCATACCAAGGAATGGTTTGTGCCAGGTGCGCCAACCCCCCAATCAAGGGGGGGGGTCTGTCGCTTGGTGTTCCCCCCATAACAGAAAACAGGTCAGATTTCTGCCAAACTTAATTAACAGCTCCACCTGAAGCCAATTCCCCAACCACAAAGACAGTGTGAGGTAGGCAAAAACACCCCCTTTTCATGGCCAATCTGAAAGAGGGGGTGAAAAATCCCTACCTGGCCCCAAATGGCGACCAGCAAGAGCCCACATTGTCTAGGGAGGGCGGGCGGGAGGGCCGATTTCAAAGAACTGCCCAGATGGGAGGGAGCACTACCAATATAAAGACTAAGCTCCACCCATCACCAAATACCCGTATGGGTGGGAAGCGCCACAGCCAGTCTCCCTCCTTCCAAGCCTGCAAAGTGGGCCCTCCCTCCTTATACATCCCTTCAGGATGCCGTCGGGTAGGGCCTTATTAGCGCTCCTTTTTTCAAATATATGTTTTTATTTGCATTTTAAACATTGTTTTGATTATTTGCTGCCTTCAGGGAGTCAGAGTTGGGTGGAAAGGCAGCATACAAATGCTTTAAAACGTTTAAATAATAAATCACTCCTGTGTAGAGATGCACACAGACTTCATAAGGAAGGCTGGCCTTTAAAACTACCAGAGTGGCTTTAAAAAAATAATTCTGACACCTTTGCTTTCTGAACAGGTGAGTTTGTATCCTAGCTGTGCTATCTTTGAGTATTTATTCCTAGAGTATAATTTTTTTAAATAAATAGCTCTAAATGTCCTGCTGTCTGTTTTTAGGCAGCCTTCAAGTTGGAGACATCAGGAGTAATTCTTGAACTAAGGTGCCAGTGTTAATTTTTTTTTTAATGTTCCTCTGTTTAGTGGTTCAATAGTGCCACCAAGAGGCAAAACCTTGCATTGTCAGCCTCTGCTCTTTTTCACAAACGTTTTTCATTTAGGATTATTTTTTATTGCAGTCAGACATCGTCTGTTCTCTATGAGAAGACAGACTGCTTGTCCATGTATGAATGATTAAGCTGTTTTTCTCATATTTACTGTATGTTTATGTACTTACCTTAAAACTAAAGCTACAGTTCTATTCATGTTCCTGTGTATTATATGACACTTGAGGAAAAGATGTAAAAGAATTTACTGCATTTGATACATTCTGTAGGGGTTCTTTCAGTAAGTAGAATCAGTGAACTCTGTGGGTTGGAACCTAAGGAACTACAGGCGGAGAGAGTTAATGGAAAGGATATTAGGATCAGATCTCAAACATGATTTAGGAGTAAATTATCAGGTGGTTTAATATTGAAACCATCTGTGTCTGAGCAGGAGAAGATTAAAAAAACTGCAGTTCCAGTGCATATCATATGTTGAACTTTGCATTGGCATCTCAGTACAGCAAAACTTATTTTGGTGACATAATCCATCATTAACTTAGCATTAGGAGGACTGAACTAAAGAGTGAAAGAAGAGCTCCTAGTATCTCTGTATTGACAGAGATTCTTAGCTTTCTCTTCTGAACTTCAGTGCTTGCAGAGCTCTTGCTAAGCTCCTCCCTGTTCTCCTAATTGTACCAGTCTTTGGTTTCTTCAGTCTGTTGTATGTCTGTGTATTGCTTGTTTGTTCTTTAATTCATTTGAGGCTTTTCAGTGTGCTTATTTTTTGTTCTAACAAGTCTTAAATGGAATTCACTAGGCCTGTGTTCTGAATCTCTTTGATCAGGATTCCCCAGTGCCCATCAGTATTTCCTCTAGAGCCCGCTGAGCTCTTCAGATGGTGGACAGGGCCTTTGCAAGACATGGTTTGTTATCGGCTGCTTCTGTTGCAGCAGAAGGGCTTTCCATGGATAAACAATAAGAGACTTCCCAGCAAAAGCCATAAGAATACAACATACAAGCTGTGGAACGGGATGCCAGTCCCATTCCATAGCTTGTATTTTGTATTCTTAGGGCTTTCCATGGAAGTAGTGTCTGCCACTGGAAGATCGGGGGCAGTAATAAGCATCCAGGATTATGGTTCCATTCCAGGTTACCTTCTTTTTATCCCCCCTTATCTCTCACCCTGCCAGTCTTTCCTTTGTTTCTTTTTATTCTCTTCTGCAGTACTTTTGCAAAACGAGGAGGGTGGTGTCACAATCTCACCCTGGATCTCACATGCATGTTGCACGTTTGCCTGTGTTCAAAAGCATGTTCCTTCTTCCTGCCACCATCCCAAGATATAAAACACAGCCTCTCAAGTAACCAGTGCCTTAGGGTACTCTGGTAAGGCTGCTTCTGAGTACAAAGAACAGAGCTTGCAGTTACTTCAGCTCTGCCCATCTGTCCGCATCCTTAGTGTGTAAGAGCGGTCTTCAACATGTGGGTGGGATTTCAAACACAGTTTGCATCCTTAAACAGGAAAGAAGCTTTATTACTAAAGATTAAACTAGAGCACATATGTGGAAAATAGCTATCATAGCAGGAGAATACATATCTAATGAAATACAAGGGCAGCACAAATTTCACTAAGTTGCGTTACAAGAAAGTTACCTTAGATGGAGCAAACATACCCCAACCTCCTTGCTGTCCCCCTGACAGAGGAGGAAAGCCCCCTGATCATAGCAAAGCGTTTGAACACAGAACAAAGGAAGATTATACCATTTAAAACTTGTGCCTGCTTAGGTAAAAACCTCCTCTCTCCAATCCAGAGTTAGGTATTCTGCCACTCATTTTAGATGCTCAGCTCTCTGCCAGTGAGGTCCTCTGGTACATATCTCTCGTCCCTCTCCCTGGTCAAGTTTTATGATGCATGTCCATCAGATCCCTTTGGCAGGTAGGCGCAAATGGTCTGGTTTTCCCACTGAGCCCAAGTTCCTGTTTTTCTGACTCTCCCCTCTTGGGAAAATAAATCGTTGCCATGAGTTCAGGGACCCTGATTATAACATGCAGTATTGTGCTTGGCTGTACCTCTGAAGCAGCTAATTTGGGGCGGTTCTCACCACCCCATCTCAAAATTCCAAGGGTGCCTGCAGGTTCAAAAAAGCTGGGGACTCATATCTTAGATAATCTCAGTAGCAGCCACATGAAGCATCAGAGAGGCAAATTACTTGAAAATGGAGTGCTGGAAATAATTTGTTTTAAAGCAGCACCAAACTGTGTAACAAACATTGTTCTGAGAATAGAAATGTGACCATAAACTGTTAATTTATGTTTACTCTTTCAAAGGAATGATATCTAGATAACTATGCTGTAGGTTAGATCTGGGGGAGCTCGTCTGTTCACTCAGGTTACTCATTCCGTGTATAGAAGACACTTTCTGGATCCAACTCTGTGCATTTTAAATCATAATTGCTGAGTTAAATGTGTTTCAATATGTGCTAAATGTTCTACTCTAGGGAGGACCTCAGACGGTGGTTTATCCAACAAGAAATGGACCTCTTTCGCTACAGATTCAATCAATTAAATGACCAGTTGGTTGAAAAATTCCTTGAATATGTTAATTTGGCATATGATGCAGTAAGTACCTTGCATCTAAATGTTTTTATGCAGTATTTAAAAAAAAATCTAGGTCCTTTAGTGAAAGTATATGGCAACATAGAAATGTTCAGGATGTGGCTTAATGGTTGAATGAAGCTTGCAATTGTCTCCCCCCCAACATAATTTCTGCTTCCTAATAAGTGGTTAAGCTACAGTACACATGAACAGAACTTCTGGTTTTGGCTCCCTCAATGGTAGCTGTATTCTCCTGGAGCTCCGGGAGATGCGTACTTTGAATTGGCAGATGGGAGGTGGTGCGATGGTACGCATCCCCCTCAGAGCCCTGGCGTTGGGCTCCTAGCCATGGGGCTCTTGGAGGGCCCTTCCTCCAGCAAACGGCCGGCGAAGGGGGGCCCAATCCCTGCCCCGACGGTCCTGCCACTGATTTCCAGAAATGGACGTGGGGACACACACCAGGACAAGCGCTTGGTGGCTGTGCGAGTTAAACGCAAAAAGCGAGTGAAAAGTGAGTGATTAAATAAGTGAAGACACCAGAAAGCAAGCTGAAAGCCTCCCCTTAACAAATCGAGGGGGGGAACTCCCCCTTGAAAAGAAAAAAAAACCTGAACTGATAAATGAAGTTATAAGGCGGAGCGGATTGCAAAACCGAATTGACTATAATAAGGAACTTTTGAGAACTTACCAAGCGTTTGAAAAGGATCTTGAGACTGTAATTACTTTTTTAAAAAAGTAAACATTTCTCAAACATCGTGCCTCCGAGGAGGGAGGAGAAGGATAAGCAACCGAAACTGAAGTTCCCTGCCAGAAATGCCAGCCCAGCAAGTTCTGTTCCTAGATATGTTTCAAAATATGCTGATTTAGGCTTTGCGCCCTCTGCTGGAACAAATGACATCGCTCCATAAGAAGTTCGATGCATAACAAACCCAGTTAAATGAAACTACTAAAAAGACAGAGAAAATTGAGCAAGGGCTTAAAGAAGTGGAGGCCAACACCCAGAAGCTTAAAAAACAAATACAGGGGATGGGAAAAAAGAGAGCAACCGACGAGGCTCAACTTTTGCAGCTGCAGATGGAAAAGGCAAGCTATGTCTTAAGATTTCAGGGGGTGCCTGAAGCAAAAGGAGAAGACTTGAAGCAGATTATGTGCAATGTATTGGGTCCGGTTGCAGATTTAAAAGCGGATTTTCTACAAAACGAAATAGATACGATCTATAGATTGTACTCTGACTACATAAGGAAGAATAATCTGCCCAGTGAGATTGTGGTGAGATTCTCCAGGAGACAAGTAAGAGATCAAGTATTGAAAGCAACAAATGGAGCCACCCTGAAAATCAAAGACAAAGAAATAAGTCTTGAAGGATATTCCATTTGAAGTAAGGAAGAAGTGAAAGAAATACAGAGACTTGGTGCTGTTCTTACAGAAAAATAATGTTCCCTACAAATGGACTGTTCCTGAAGGCATGCTCTTCAAATTTAAAGACAAGAAAGAAAAAAATTGACTCTGTTGTAAAGGCACGCAAATTTCTACATCAACATGCCGATCCAGCAGGTGAAGAGGATAAAGATGAAGATGGCAGCAGCAAGGGAAGGGAAGAAGGAGTACTGACACCTTCTGATGAGGACTCAGTTTCTGAACTTGGGGCGGCTTCCCCTAAACTAAGCTATCGATTGAAAAACAAAAAGGATAAAAAATGAGTTGTGATTGTTCTCTAGATTCTGTTTTAAATGAATTTAAATCATTTCTCTAAAGAGCTCTTTATATGGTCAGATTTGTTGGAGATTCTAGTACAAGCAATAAGAATTGTGTACTCACTTAACTTAGCAAAGTATAAGCTTATTTAACTAGAAGCTAATGTTGTAAGCATTGTGAATGACCACCATCTCTTGGGTTTTTAGTGGTTTTTCTTTACTTTCTCCTGTAGTTTGTAGTTACCTCTTCTTGTTTCTTTGTAGTTTATAGAAAATGCAATTAAAAAATCCCCTACTCGGGGGGGGGGAATACACAAACAGATACTAGTTTTGGACTCCAGCAATACTGCTTGATGGATCTTGTTGTTGTTGTTGTTCAGTCGCACAGTCGAGTCCGACTCTTCACGACCCCATGGACCACATCACGCCAGGCCTCCCATCTTACATTGTGCTTCCGAGTTTGCTTAATTTCATGTTCGTTGCATCGATAACACTGTCTAACTATCTCATCCTTTGCTGTCCCCTTCTTTTACCTTCAGTCATTCCCAGCATCAGGGTCTTCTCCAGTGAGTGCTCCCTTCTCATTTGGTGGCCAAAGTATTTGAGCTTCAGCTTCAGTATCTGGCCTTCTAGAGAACAGTCAGGGTTGATTTCTTTTAGGATTGATTGATTTGATCTCCTTGCAGTCCAGGGGACTCTCAAGAGTCTTCTCCAGCACCATAATTCAAAAGAATTTATTCTTTGGTGCACGGCCTTCCTTATAGTCCAACTCTCGCAGCCATACATTACTACTGATAATACCATTGATTTGACCATACAGACTTTTGTTGGCAGGGTGATGTCTCTACTTTTTATTATGCTGTCTAGGTTTGCCATAGCTTTCCTCCCAAGGAGCAGGTGTCTCTTAATTTCATGGCTGCAGTTACTGTCTGCAGTGATCTTGGATCCCAGGAATGTGAAGTCTGTCACTGCTTCCACGACTTCCCCTTCTATTTTCCAAGGAGTGATGGGGCCGGATGCCATGATCTTAGTTTTCTTGATGTTGACTTTCAAGCCAACTTTTGCACTCTCTTTCACAATCAGCAAGAGGCGTTTAAGGTCCTCTTCACTTTCTGCCATTAGAGTGGTATCATCTGCATATCTGAGCTTGTTGATGTATTTCCCAGCAATCTTAATTCCAGCTTGTGATTCATCCAGGCCAGCATTTCGCATGATGTACTCTGCATATAAATTAAATAAGCAAGGTGACAATATACATCCTTGTTGTACTCCTTTTCTGATGCGAAACCAATCAGTTGTTCCATATCCTGTTCTAACTGTCGCTTTTTGACCCTCACACCACATGTGAGGTGGTCTGGTATTCCCATCTCTTTAAGGACTTGCCATAGTTTGTTGTGATCCACACAATCAAAGACTTTAGCATAGTCAATGAAGCAGAAGTAGATGTTTTTCTGGTACTCTCTTGCTTTCTCCATAATCCAGCGAATGTTGGTAATTTGATCTCTAGTTCCTCTACCTCTTTGAAACCCAGCTTGTACTTCTGGCAGTTCTCTATCCACATACTGTTGAAGCCTAGCTTGTAGGATCTTGAGCATGACCTTGCTAGCGTGTGATATGAGTGCAATTGTGCGATAGTTTGAACATTCCTTGGCATTGTCCTTCTTTGGGATTGGAATGTATACTGACCTTTTCCAATCCTGTGGCCACTGTTGCGTTTTCCAAATTTGCTGGCAAATTGTGTGCAGCACTTTAACAGCATCATCTTTTAAGACTTTGAATAGCTCAGCTGGAATACCATCACCTCCACTAGCTTTGTTGTTAGTAATGCTTTCTAAGGCCCATTTGACTTCACATTCCAGGATGTCTGGCTCAGGTTGTCAAGGACATTGAGATTTCCTAATGTCTTCTGCTTCTGTTAGGTCCCTACCATTTTTGTCCTTTATCATGGCCAGCTTTGCATGGAACGTCCCCTTGATTTCTCCAAGTTTCTTGAAGAGGTCTCTAACCCTTCACATTCTATTGTTTTCCTCTATTACTTTGCACTGTTCATTCAGGAAGGCCTCCTTATCTCTCCTTGCTGTTCTCTGGAAATCTGCATTCAGTTGGGTAAATCTTTCCTTTTCCCCTTTGCCTTTTGCTTTCCTTTTTTCCTCTGCTATTTGTAAAGCCTCACCAGACAGCCACTTTGCTTTCTTGCATTTCTTTTTCTTTGGAATGGTGGTGATTGCTGCCTCCTGTACAATGTCACGAACCTCCATCCATAGTTCTTCAGGCACTCTATCAAATCTAGTCCCTTAAACCTATTCTTCACCCCCACTGTATATTCATCAGGGATGTGATCTAGGTCAAACCTGAATGGCCTAGTGGTTTCCCCAACTTTCTTCAGTTTAAGTCTGAATTTTGCAATGAGTAGCTCATGATCTGAGCCACAGTCAGCTCCAGCTCTTGTTTTACTGACTGTATAGAGCAGGGGTGTCAAACTCATTTGTTATGAAGGCCGGATGTGACATAAATGAGACCTTGTTGGGCTGGGCCATGTATGTCATAAAATGTAATGCCAGGTAACAGAGATATAAACTTTATAAAGGAAACAAATACTTAAAATAAAAACATGCTTAAAACATTAGCTCTGTAAGCTGCAAACCTACTTTTGATTTATTGACATTCACCACAGCAATCCCATGCTCAAAGTTCTGAATCTAGAACCCAGATTAAAATATGAAATGGCTGAGTGATTAAGAGAGTCTGGAGAAGCAAGCTATGATGCAGCAGCAGCAGAACTGGATGCAAGAGATGGCCGGTTCCACTGCAGGCCTGATGGAAGCCCTCCAGGGGCCTGATCCGACCCCCAGGCCACATATTTGACACCCCTGGTATGGAGCTTCTCCATCTTTGAATGCAAATGATATAGTCAATCTGATTTTGGTGTTGCCCATCTGGTGATGTCCATGTGTAGAGTCGCCTCTTAGGTTGTTGGAAGAGCATGTTCGCTATGACCAGTGTGTTCTCTTGACAAAAGTCTGTTAGCCTTTGCCCTGCTTCATTTTGTTCTCCATGGCCAAACTGTCTGTTATTCCGTTTACTTTTGACTTCCTACTTTAGCATTCCAGTCCCCCATGATGATGAGGACATCTTTTTTGGTGTTAGTTTTAGGTGGTGTTGTAGGTATTCATAGAACTGGTCCACTTCAGCCTCTTCTGTGTCAATGGTTGGGGCATAGACTTGGATTACTGTGATGCTGAATGGCTTGCCTTGGATTCGGACAAAAACAGTGACAATACAGCTAAGCCACATAGAGACAAAGAAGTATACTGCTATCAGAAAATGTGT